GCGGGGTGAAGAACTGGGGAATGTTGAACATTAGAATAAGTCTCAAGGGATACGTAGCTGCAAACACTTACTCATGGCGATGCGGTAAACAGGAGTGTTGTCAGTCTTGCTGTAGTACTTGTTTAGCATCGCACGCGCCGCGCGCGCGCCCTTGCGAACGACCGGGTGAAGATCGTCCTGGTCGACGAAGTCGTCCAGGTGCTTGGTGAGGATGTCGATGAACGGAATCACTTCGTGTAGAAGTGCACGCGTGTTCGAGGAGATCTGGACGGTCGCGTACAAGAATGGCTATGGGTGTCAAGATCATCAGCAGAGAGTAGCGGGCAGAGTAGGTGGGTGGTACTTACGTCCATCAGGTGGTAGAGCTGCTCAAGAATGGACCACTCATTGTCGTTGAGGATGAAACGGCGGAGACGGACACCGCCCGCACGATTGAATTCGTACTTGTCGCATAGCGCCCCGAGTACATCCTTCATTTCAAGTCCACGCCCGATCACACCCACGATGCTGTTCCACCGGGTGCGAACCATGCGAATGAGGACACGCGCGCTGATGTTCACGCTCTTTGCGAGCTCTTCCAGCTCTGCCCGAACGGGGGGGCTGTTCCAAACCTTGCCCGACAACTTGATAAGCTACAGGGGGCACAATAGGTGAGCATTCAATGAGGCATGGCCCAAGGCGTGTAACTTACCTTCTCAAGAGCAAGAATCGCAGCCTTCTCCTCTTCAGGGGTACACGGAGTGTCGTCGTCGTCATCGAGCCCATTGTCGAGCATCTGATCGATGAGATTTTGATCAGCATCCTCGTGGGCGGGGTCGACTTCTTCCCCTTCGTTGTCTGACGAGTCGGCGTCCGAACCGTCAGAGAAGTCATCGTGTTCGTCCTGCAACACGTAGTCGTCATCCTCGGACGTGTTCTTGCCAGCGCGGCTGCGCTTCTTGAGGAAGGGTTTGATGGCAGCCTGGTAGGGCATAACGGGTGAGGTCAGAATAGAGAGAACGATACATCAAATTACAACGTAGCTACAGACCTTGCTAACTAAGTTCAAGACATGTCCAAAGCAACGAACATGGCCCTCTCCGATGCGGGCGAATGGTGCACGGTCATGGAGCTGCCGCATGAGTGCGGTGTTGACCTCAGTGTTGTCGCATGTAACAGCGATGACCTGTAGTGGGGGTTGTGTGTAAGCAAGCGATACGCGTGGGCAAAGGGAAGGAAGGTACGTGAGAGACGAGGAGTGACTCGCACGAAAGAAGGGAAGTGACGTGCTAGAGGGGATGGGATACAGAAATCGCACAGAGGGGACGCGACACACGACTCGAGAGGGGATGGGGACAGAGATCGCGTGTGCAAGAAGCGGTTGGCAAGCTCACCTTGTCAAAGATACCAAAATCGCGGAGACAGGCCTCAAGCTTGTCTGCGAGGAAAGTCGCATTGTGGGACTTGGTAAGCCTGCGAGGCGAGGTAAACAGGTGTGAGTGAGGTCTGCAGGCGTTAGCAGCGAGGTGGAGAACGCACTTGACAAAGTCCAAAATAATGTGCCTCATCTCCCCCTTCTCGTTCCAATGAACGGTGATACCAAGGTACGAGATGATGTTCGGGGACGTCCAGCCATCCATGCACACGTGGACGCCCCCTTCGATGTTCTGATAACAATGTCAGAGACGTGGTTGGAGATGAACGGGATATACGTACCTTGAAATGGTCGATAACTCGCTGTTTCACCTCCACATGGATGTCGTGGACGTCTTGAGATATCGTCTGGCGAGTCGGAAGTTCGACCTTGTTATAGAGCATCGCCAAGATCGTGCGGAACTCCTTGTCCTCCACGATGATGAAGGGGCGATGGTGGCGGGCACACCACATCGCAAGCAGGAAGCGCATGCGATGCGGGGTGCATCAGTATTTCCCGAAATGTCTCAAAATATCTCAAAATGTCTCAAAACCTCTGTGGAGAGGCTCAAGACATTGTGAGATGTTTTGAGACATCCAGAATTCCTCTCACTTCCGAACTTTTGTGAGATGTTGTGTGAGAGATTTCAGACAGCCCAGAAAAACCAGAAGTCCAAGATAAGAGCTACTTTGCTTGCACTGTCGCAGTTACTGCACACTCGGGGGCACACAATTGATAGCAGATTCAAGTCAATCATATATTAAAGTGGTACTATCGAAGCGAATGCGGATGGGGTCAGGTATTACAGTGCTGTGGTAGGTGGTCAATCGACGTAGGGCACAGTCGAACTCTTCTCATGCTGTCTGGGAGAGGGGCTCCGTCACGACGCGTAGGCTCATCGGAGGTACGCTGCTGCAGTGCGTGCGAGTAGACCAGCCTAGCACGCAAGGACGGCTCGATGCACACGCCCGACGCCAGTTCATACCTCCGCTCGCACCCCTGGCCACCACACCAGATCAATTGATTGATGTCGCTTCCTCAACAACCTGGCCGAGGATGACGTCAGCGGGTTCACGTTCGCATAGGCGCAGGTGTTGCCCCTGCCAGACACGGCGGGCGGGTATCACACGCACGAGTCGTACCCCGGCAGCCTGCTGAGCCTGGGCCAACCTGTACAGTGCACCGCTGTCGCCGCCGAATGTGTACGGCGCGTACAGCGGATCGCAGACGTCTCATCCGCAGCCGTGGCAGCCACTCCACGCCGCATAGACGAATGCCTGCAGATTTCTTCATCGTCCATAGCACGCGGGACCGCGTCTGAGGCCTCGGCGCCGCGCGGCACTGTTGAGGGCACGAACAGTGTGTCCACGAAACCGTCGACATGCGCCCTGGGTGGAATGACCTCGCGTGCACCCGACAACTGTCTGGTGTCCCTGCGGCCACCATTGCGCAGGCCCCGCACGACGGAGAGATGTGGCCCAGACTTGGTGGAGCGCATTGCGGACAAGCTTGTGGAAGTGGAAGGTGACGTGGTCAGTAGTGAAGACGAGGACACTGCATTAGTACTCAACATGAGCTGAAAAGATGGAGAGCGCACCGTCGGGGGGACTGGTAGGAGATAGATCGCAGAAATCGGGCGCGAAGAAGTAGTGGAAGAGGGACGACTCATCCGGAAGGGCAGAGAATGGGAGCGGCGTGGAGCTGGTGCAGGGGATTTCATACACCCTCTTGTCAGGGGCCTACGCTTTCAAGTAAGATGGCAACTACTACGCACCTGTCAACTAACCCTTCGTGCAGAGCGTGGCCAAGGCGAGGGCGAGGGTGGTGGTGGAAGTGGCGAATGAGAGGCTGCGCTGGCAGAGTCCGGCTGAGTAGAGGCTGATATTCCCACGCCAGGCGCTGCCAGCCCAGACGACGCGTTGCAGCATCACCCGCCTCCTCGTCCTCCTCGTCCTCCTCGTTCTCCTTGTCTTCCTCCCTGTCGCCGTCTCTAGCTTTTCATTACACTTGCTCTCTTGCTTGTCTAGTTCCACCTTGCCGTTAGCACACGCATGGCCGCCTCCCTCAACTCACTCACCTCGCCCGTGTCACCAGCTCACCGGCGTCACCCCGAGTAGGTTATCGCGATCCCCCACCACTGATCCACGAGCTCGAGCAGGAGGACAAGCACCCCGGCGTGTTGAGGAGCTCCGCCGCCAGCTCAAGATCGAGAACGGCGTGCTCCACAACAGCGCCTCCCCCCAACACGTGTTCCACCGCGACTACTACAGCTTCGCGCTCTCTGACGGCCGCCATTTTGACGGCCAGGGCCAAGCGCCGCCGCACTACGGGCACGATATTTGTGAGTGCACTTGTTCTGTCTCGGTGTTTTTCCCTCCTCCTCCTCCTCCTCCTCCTCCCCACCAGTGGGCGCTCGTGACCTCATACGGGTACAACGTGCTCCCCTGGTTCTCGCACCACCAGTTGGAGTTTGAGCTCGTCAAGCTCGAGGATGAGCAGCACCACATGGTAAGCACCCCTCCGCTCTGCGTCGCACCGAGCACGAGACCGATGACTGGCACCCCCACCACCTGCCTCACCCTTGTCAGCCGGGTCATGCCCACATTGCCACATCGCACGCACCCCCCCCCCCCCCCCCCACGTTGCCCATGTCTTCCACGTCGCACAGGCATCTCCCGCCTCTCTCATTGGCCTCGCCCATATCCGCGCCGACAGGCCACAACGCTCTCTCGAACAGCCTGCCCGTCTTCCTGCCCCCTCTCGAACTGCGCCGCTGCCTGCACGTTCAGGTGAAGTATGATTTGATGCGCACAGGCAGGAACATTGCGGTTTTTCTCAGTGTGGGCGTGGGCACGAAGGACAGGCTAGCGCGGCCTCTGAAGGAGAAGCGGAGCAAGGGACAGAGACGTGGGTGCAGCGTGCGGTGTTCGCGCGCACACTTGCGCTCGACCACCCACCATGTTCCGCTCTCAATACGCTCGCAAACCACGGATACATGTAAGCCTCAGTCCACACCCCCACCTCGTGTCCACCACAACCTGACACGCCGTCCACCAGCTCACGAGACAGCCACACGGTGCGCGCTCACCCACACCCAGGTGGTCACTGCCCTCTGCGCGGTCTACGACCTCTCCACGCCCGCCGCCCGGCTCATGACCGCGCTCACGTGCTACGGCGACTGCTCCGCGATCAGCAGCAGTGGGCGCACGGTCGACCTACACGCGTTCGCGCGGCACGGCGGCGCTCGAGCATGACGTGTCGCTCGTGCACGCCGCTGCAGCCGACAACGACGACAGGACGCCGGCGGCGCCCTTCGAGCCCGTGCGCCCGAATTCGCCCTAGGCGGATCCCTTCGCATCTAGTACACCTCACTGTTTTCACCGGTTTGTTAAGTAGGATACTCTCAATATTACTGCAGTTGGTTGTAATATACCTCATTCTCGCCCTCGAAGCACACCATAGATGACAGCCCTCTAGCTCCCGTGTACTGCCAGCGCTGATACCAGTTGTCTAAATCGTCTGAAACGTCTTAAATCTGTCTGGGATGTCTCACCACCTCTCACCTATCTGAGACCTCCCACACGAGACGAGCCAGAGATCTGAGAGATCAAGAGATCTTGGGAAGTACTGATGTGTACGTGACCCCAGCGGCAAATTCTTCGATCAGTTGAACACCAGCCGGAGTCTTCTTCTTCGAAGGGTCGCAGCTGTTGACGTGCCGGACAAGATTCCCGGTGCTCTCTTGATAGTCGGGACGATCGACCTTCTTAGACGAGTGCCTGTACAGAATATGTACGTCAATGCCTTCAAGAAAAGAGACTCAAGTGCACAACGTACTTCTTGCACATGAAACGATGACTTATCGTCCCGTTGGGGTTTCGAATGACTGTCGGAAATTCGAAGTGCAAGTACACATCCGAACGCCAGCCCTTCGAAAGTTCCTCTGTATGATATCAGCAATATGTTCATCCCAGAGCTGAGCGATCGGACTTACCTAGAATCTCCTCTGGGGTCAGGTTCGGGAACCGCCTCTCGAAACGAGTCTGGCGACCACTCTTGGGGCCCACGATCCCAGCATTCTCCGCGGCCGCACGAGTGTGTTCTTTCAGGCCGCGAATGCCATCGTCGCTGTCAGAACTGTCAGTGTCGGACGTGATGAACTCTGAGTAAGGCAAGGGACCGACTGTAAGCACACGAAGAGGAGCGATCCTCAGTCAGTGATAGAACGACTGGTATTGAGAGCATAAGTAGTACCTGTAAGCACATGAAGAGGAGCGACTACAGATACAGTAAGCATATGTGTAAGGAGCGCATAGAAGTGTAGGTACTTACTCCTCAGTCAGTGATAGAACGACTGAAGAGCAGAGCGAGCCAGAGTCCTCCTTATATCTATCTCAGGAGCTGCATACGTAAGCGAATGATGGAGGACATAGATGGCGCAGAGAACAGACCGGACAGAAGATGGATACGATGCTGTGCGGGCTGTGCGCTCAAGACAAAGAAAGTCCGTAAGTGGAACAAGGGAACAAGGAGAGAAGCGTAGAAGAACGGAATGGAAGAGATAAGGAACTACAAGGCAGTGAAGTGACATATGGAACTATGGGAAGTATCTCACAGAGTCCATGTGGATGCGTAAACTGTCCTAATGTACGTATGTTCGATATCCAATGTTCAACAGGACGGTGCAGCGCTCGAGTCCTTGTCCTTGTCCTCTGTGACCGACTTGGAGGACACAGAGATAGTCGAGCCCGTGCGCCGTACCTTCGCGCGCCGCTTGTCGCGCGCGCTGGGTGTGGTGGCGCTGCAGTAGATCGAAGAACGTGTGTTAGGACAGCACAATGAAATATAAGTGGACGAACCTGGCAGACTCCTGTGTGACGGTCTCGGAGCGGGGACGTTTGGCAGCTGCTACCGCAGCCGCGAGGGGGTTCTTGGGAGGGTTGGTGGGCATACTAATGTCGAGGGGAGGTGAATCGTCAGACGGTGGGTGGTTGAGTGGAATCTCTGACCTCACCGGAGCGAGTCTGCGTGGTATAAAACCTCGCTGGCGACTTGATGTGCGAGCTCCTGAATATGTCAGGCAAAGGTAGTGTTAGCCCGGAGAGCCGTGTCCCGCCTCGATGAGAGATAAGAGAGCGTGCTCACCAAGACAAGGACTGATCAGGTCCTCCATTCGCCCTGACCGCGCGCTTAAAGCCCAATCATGAGCCGGTGGAGGTACCACAAGACAGTCCATGAAGCGGTTGGGCTAGGAACACTGCGATGGCCGTGTTCATGGGGCGGTTCGAGTGGCGTGTGTGTGTGGCGAGTGGATTTGCAGCGATGTGTGCATTGATAAGACATTGCGACTGAGAACGGGATAGTAGCTGGGGGAAAAAGAAAGCAGTAGGGCAGCCGGGGTAGACTGAGTTCGGCAGGGGAGCTGAGGAAGCGGAGAGAGGATGAAGGTGAGCACTTGCAGAGATGAGGAGGCGATAAGGTACTCAGCCTGCACGCCTGACAGCACGCCATGCTCCCCAAAGCGGCACCTCACTTCCGAGATGAAGCGAGGACTTCGACTCCCAGGCCCACGCCTTCCAGGAGCCGTGCGGTCAGCTGTGTCAGCTGCCACATCTACGTCGTCTCTTACCATCACCATGCCCTCTCAGTGAGTCGTCCATGCCCCTTTGATGTTTTGCCCTGGCTGATGTATCAACATCCTACAGTCGAGCTAACCATCTGACGATCAGCATGATGATCCTCAGATCGTTATCTCGCCTGGGGCCCAGCGCGCCTCCTGCCTGAAATGGCGTAATCGCCCAGCTCCCGCCCACCTTTGGATCTCTTTGGTCTCAACCAAGCCGGCGAGGGTGTCCGAGGATCCGAAGTGCACGTTGTACACTTAGGGCCCCCCGCGGACGACCCACTGTCTCCACGCGCGGCTCCCTCGTCGAGTCCTCGCCCAGCGGACCCTGGAACTCCTCGCGCAAACAACCGGCACCCCATCCTCAGCTCGCGAGGACAACCCATCTCCACGCGCAGACCCCTCGTCTCTTCACACAGCCGACCCGTCTCCTTGCGCAGCAGCAGCCTAATCAGCTCTTCAACGTGCTCACGCAGACGACCTCGCCCCTCCTCTTCTCGCGACATCCGGTTGAGTTGTCTTCCACCGCGTCGACCGCTCATAATCGCGACACCTGTCACGGTAGGTCTATGATACGATATCGCCATGTCCAACTAGCCATATGCTCACACGGTATATCGCAGGTTCAAGGTTGTGTCCTCCGACGACCGCCTTGCAGTCTCGCTCTGAACAAGATGTCCAAATCCGCCCCCACCAGTTCCTCGTCTCCCCCAGCCCCCTCCGACATCGGGCTTGGCGACCCCATGGCCCTCCCCTCAGCAGTGCCGTCCATGTCGGGAGACACTCACGTCTCCGACGCCTACCTTAACTCAATGGGCCCTAGTGTCGACACTCCGTCCATTCCTCCCTCAGACACCCTCGCCGCTCTCTCCGAGCTCTACGACCTCGGCGCGGACACCTCGCCTACTGGCGCCAGTGCTCACTCCGGCAAGACGTACGGGGAATTGATGGTCGCAGCAACGCACCGTCTCGTTCCCCCCACACGGTGGGCGAGCATGATCGAAGAGCTCGCCGAGTACCACCGCTCTCTGGTCATCGCGGAGCTTCTGGACACGCCGCGCCCCTCTACAATCAGCCCACGGACCCACGCGATCTTAGTAGAGACGCTCTTTGCGGGTGCGGCAGCGGCGATGGACCTCGGGGGAACCTTTGCGGATGCGGGAATAGATGCGGAAGCCCATGCGGATGCAGGCGTGTCTTCACTCACGGACGACGGGGAGCAGGAGGGTGCTAATGGTGAGTCTGGCAGCCGCTCATGGGGTTGAGTCGTTGACTTACTAGGTTCAGACACAGGTGTGGCAGGCCCGGGCGCAGCTCCCGTTGGCCCCCAGATGCGCACGCGCACACGCAAGAGGAAGGGGAAGGGCAAGGGGAAGGGCAAGGGAGTGGGCAGGGGCGCGCGTGCGGACACTGACGCAGGTGTGGATGCGGGCGTGAGGGCAGGTGTTGTTGGTGTGACCCCCACCCACCCTTCGGTCGACGATGAGCTGCCCGGCCTCATTACCCCCGTCCACTCCGACAACAACTCCGACGCCTCAGACAATGAGTACAACTAGAAGCAATAAAGTCGGATTGAATGTGTATATATAGTCTGAATATGCGACTCTACCTGCGGATGACCCGCAGATCACGAGAAATCTGGCCAGCCTGATTCGGAACCTCGCCGAGCCGGATCCGCACTGAGTTGGAGCCGTGTGGATCACGAACCGCGACGCACGACTCCGGGTAATTGCGGGTCGATCTGCAAAGTGATCCGGAGTCTCGAACAGCCTTAGCACCGACGCAGGGAACGTGCGTCGCGCGCCCCCGCTGCTTCTACCGGAACTCTCGCACTCCCGAACTGCCAGCACCGCGCTTCCACTCGCGTCTGTTGACATGGCGCGCGGCCGGCCTGTCGTCCACTCTCCCTCCTCCTCCTCCTCCTCCTCCTCCTCCTCCTCCTCCTCTTCCGAAGGGGATCCAGACGACGATGGTGATCAAAGCCACACGACACTGCCAGTGGTGCCGGTCTCCGGGAACAATGACTCGGACCCGAACCCTTTCGAGCCCAATGATAACAACAACAACGGCGGGGGAACTCAAGCCGCCGCAGTCACTGAGGCGAACGACGGTCGGAGCGCCACTCAAGAATGTAAGTTGCGAGATAACTATGGCGGAGTCATACCAAACCTAACCCTGCCATGTAACTCTAGGTCGTTGTACCTACAGCCTGCGTCCTGGCCGAGACGCACATCCCGGGTACACGCATCTTGGTCGCAAGCGCACAGCAACCCAAGTGAAGGATCAGGCCGGCGAAAAGGAACAAGTCGTCGCTCTCAAGAAAGCTACCAAGACAGCTGCCGCCAACGAGCGAAAGGTGGCGATGCAGAAGGTCGGCACCCTCCAGCTCGAAGAACACCAGTCTCGCTCGCAAAAGTGGGTGACACTGCGTCTTCCGCCAACTCGGGGCATCCTTCGCGGCAGCAAGAGGACGCCGGACCCTACCGATGACGAGGAAGAGGCCGCAATCAATGTCGAAGATGCTGCGTCAAACGTCGAAGATGCCGACTTCGACCGCACCACAAACAACCTCAACGACATCTTGAACACAATCGAGCATGACAGCGACCTGTATGAGCCATACGAGGTGCGTCGCTATACAGCTGCACTCTCTTATCATGCTGATCTGTCTGTCTTGCGCGATAGGGTCCTGCTAAGGGCGACGAGGACTCCACTCAGGGCGACGAAGAAGATGAGGACTCCACCACTCGGACCCGTAGACGTGCCAAATCGAAGCGGCGCGCACCAATCTTCTCCGATGATGACAACAGAGATGATGAAGAAGATGCCAAGGGAGGTAACCAAGATGCCGAAGCCAGTGCCCATGAAGTCAGTAGTGCCGAAGAGGAGAGCGAGAGACCGGTGAAGGCGAAGAAGGTACGTTATTCACTGCCTCCCCCTCTCTGCGACCAGTCCCTCCGCGAATACCAGACGGTTGTTACGAGTGCACAGGGTTACTTGTAACCGCAGCACACCGTCTCGTGCACTTTGTGTACCCCATATTCCCATCACCCGCACCCGCATCCCTCTTGCTGTGCCATCATACCCTCACGTTCCTTTGCGAACTATGTCCGCAGAGTTCGCCAAGTTGCGTGTGCCTGAGGCATAGTGTATCGATGAGCTTTCGGTGGGCCCTTGTAACGATGTCCCTGTGCGCCTCTCCGACTATTTACAAGCGGATACTCAATCAACTTGTTGCAGAAGTCCAAGTCGCAGCAAAAGCGCGAAAAGCGTGAAGAGCTCCGCGAGATGCTCGACACCGCCATCGGGTCGAACTCGAAGCGTCCACGAAGTGACACCGTGTCCTCTAGAGGGTACGTTTGATCCTTTTCGAACACACAGGTGGCAGGTCTTGATGTTTATCAGAAACGGCACCAAGAAGTTCAAGCATGTAGGGTCCGCCATGCGCAAGAATTGGCAGAATGGCACCCCCACTCCTACGACACCTGCTCCCAAAGCGACCAAGTTTGGCGTGTCCACATCAAAGCGCGCTCCACGCAGCCAATCAACCCCGAACTGGCTCGATCACCTCAGCGGCATCGAGATGCTTTTCGGACCCAGCGATGAAGAAGACTCTGGGGCAGGGAGTAGTAGGGCTGCGAAGACTCCCGCGCCGGGCGCTCGAAAAGCGCACAAGTCTGTGGTGTCCGCCTCAAAGCAGCTGCCGCGCGGCGATGCAAGACATTCGGCGGGCTCGGCATCCGCGATGCCCTCAGGCTGGCTCAAGCAGATCCTCCCGCCGCAGCATCTCGAGGATGACGATGACGACATCTTTGGACCTGGATCTGCGCTTGGCCTTGAAGATGCAGTCACGACGGCTGGGGCTGGTGTGCGAATGAAGGTCAGATTACACTTGTGATACATGTGGAGCACTCCGCACTAACACATCTATAGGGTCAGATCGCGATTGAGGAGGAGTCTCCCTCTGAGTCAGATGAAGGCAAGAGATCGCGTCAGAAGAAGAACCTTACGAAACCCATCGGCAAGGCCACTGGGAATCGTCGCACTCGTACTGCTGTCGCTGACATGCCTGTTGAGGAGTCTCGCTCCAAGTCCAACTTGCCCTCCTGGATCAAGAAGGACTTCGATACGATCATGGTGCCAACCATCGCGAACTATCTCGGAGCCAAGACAAACCCCATCAACATGTCCGAGAACGGCTCTGACGAACTTCTCAGGATCAGCCAGGAGATCCTCGGTCTCATGCGCCCGAACCTCGATTTCGAGATTGCAAAGAGCACCATCATATATACCATGGTATCTATTCTTCTCCTGTACTGTCCAAGCAGGTGCTAATCTCACTCCGCAGATACAGGTGGAGATGTATAAGTGGCGTGACGGATTCCTGGATGCTGCCGATGACGCAATCAAGGCCCAGGTTGCGATCGAGTTCGGCCCCTCGGCCAAAGCCGCGCAAATTGCGCGATGGGCTACCGAGATGCTTCCGGAGACAAGTGCGGCATTCTACAAGGTTGGGGAGACCGAAACCGTACGTGTTTCGTGGCTTCAGTGAGAAGATGTGTTAATGCTCTCGCTAGTCAAAGCCTAAGGGACGCTTGGGCTCTCCGCTCATCCTTCGTACCTTTGCGCACCATTGCAGGTCTACGAAAGGCAGCATAACTGATTATGGGTTTCCGCGTGGTGCATTTGCATTGGCCGCATTTGCGGTAAGTTCTGCATGTGGTTGTGTTCACATAACTAACTTTGGTGTGTGACTTGTACGACTAGGTGCAACATGTGTTATCGATGTATACCACCACTGGCAGGCTCAAGGCCGCCTCCGCTGGTTTCGGTAGTGTAGACACTCGTTCCAAGGTGCAGGCATGGTATGACCACGTCGTGGAGCCTATCCTCGGCAATAAGCCCTATCAGGATGCTCTCTTGAAGGGAGCTGCGAGCTTCCTGAAGGCGACTGATATGGCTCTCACGAAGGTTTCCTCTAGTGATCATGACCCATGGAGCACATTTCACCGTGATAGCTCACCGATGGATTTCACCCATTGATGATGATGTACTGTAGTTGAATGCTGCTTAATCGTATATCTCTGCTTACTATGGTGTATGAATCATGTGAATGAGATGGACAAACCATCATCTCTAATGTCTCTATCTCCTCTAAGACTTCTAATCTCTTCTAAAACTACCTCTAAAACCTCTAGCCCTCCAAGCCTTCTAAACTCCCTAAAACCTCCATTTTAGAGGTTTTAGAAGTGTTAGAGAATTGACCAAGGTACTGATGAGTCACAGATTCCCAAGATCGACGGATGGACCGCCGCCGTTGAAGAATCGTTGACCTCAGGCGGAGGGAGTGGACGTCGACGGTAGCGCGAACGAGACGCAGATTAGTGGCCTAAGTAGTAAGGGAGCCCACGGAAGCGCGGGACGTACCTGCGGGGGGTGCGTGACGGCGAAGAAAGAGCTCCGGGACTCATTGTCGTCCTTAAGGCGGTGGAGGAAAGAAAGAGGGTGTGAACTAGGGTGTGGCTGTTGAGGTGGGCAAGATGGAGGTCGAAGGTGGTGGTGGACGAGGGTGGACAGCTGCCAGCACGGAGCGGGGGGCGTGCCGCGTCGCGCGTTGGGAATGGGCGCTAGTGTGGCCGACCGTGTCCCGTGATCGCGTCCTGCCATTCACCGCGCGCGAGTCGAGATAGGTCGAGATGCTGTCCGAACTTCTGTCCAGTCTCCCTTGCGCAGCACCCTCCTTTTCTGGATATGAGAATTGCTCAAGTCCATGTCGTCTTCTCGTCCCCAGCATACCACTATTCCTCTCCATCAAGCCTCCACGCGCCATTGCACACTTCGACTGGCACAAGCACCAGCAAGCTTCGTCTCGGGCCCCTTCCGCCTCCCCATGACTGCCGTCTCTGGTCCCTCCACTGCTCACCACCCCTCATCATTCAAGAAGCTGCCGAAGCTGTGGCTTTCCGGCCCTCGGGCTCGGGCTCGCACGAAGCGGTCGTGAGTTATCGTGCCTCTTCCTTGTGCTTTCTCTATATCCTCAACCTCCCACCTTCCCGCCATTGACTGGGAGTCCGGGACCCGTACTATGGCCATGAAGAGACCGCGAAGGTCCGGCGCGACTTCTGTGGCGAGCGCGATGGCTGCTTCCACCTCGATCTGGTCGTCGTCGGGCGTGGCGCAATGGTCTTAACTCGCTCGAGCACGGTCATCCCTGACGGCACGATGTACGGCCCGCACGCGTCCTCGCACAACGACCCGTCCGGCCGCCCCCCGACCGTGACGCACAGTACAACCATACGGCGCTCTTGCAGCCAAAGCTGCACCTCATAGCAGCATTTGTCGCGGGCGCGCCCATATTCTTCCTGGTTAAGTTGGCAGCGCATTCGCCCTGGTTCGTCGCCCTCTTCGTCCTCCTCTCCCAGCCCGCGCGCGGGCGCGTCATCGTCTCCTGTGTTCACGTCGTTTTCAGATAGGGCCACGCACACACGCTGCACACACTCCACGAGCAACGTCGCGATGACCGCGCCCGACTCGCCGAGCTACGTAGTACGTGCCCGACTCGCACCGGTACGTCTACTTGTCGAGCTGCAACTTCCCCGCCTCAGTGATATCCACCGCGCCCAGCCCGAAATCGTGTTCGTCGCACAACGCAAGCAGCATTTAAGAGATATGTGACAGGGATGTCGAGATTGGGTGCACAGTCAGGTCAGTTTTCGTTGACAAACCAGTATCATGAGATGTGGGGGTCTGTACATTGTTGCAGTGCTTACATCACGAAGCAATGACTGCTCTCTCTGTGTTCAATCTATGTGTGCCGACGCGTGAGCAGCGGGCTGTAAGTCATACACTATCGCCACTACTCGTCGGGATCCAGCCGAAAATATCATTATTGTCTAACTACATGTACAGATATCCACTACACTCACTCAATAACGTCAAATTATACCTCATCCATCCCATAAGCGACCAGAAGAAAGGCGATAATATCTGTAAACTGTGGTGAGTTGGAACAGCGGCATTATTGTGGTGTATATCGGCTTACCAATACTTTACCTCTCAATAGGGATTTGGGTTTTTCCTGATGGAGCTGATGGTGATAGAAATCTACGGCAGTGAAGGAGCGTGGGTTGATTTGATCAAGAACGAGGGTGCGACGTGGGGAAAGGGTGATGGAGTGCGGATAGGGACCGTGGAGGGTGGTTGTGTGGTTGGGGTTGTCCATGATGTGGTCTGCTCAGTCATCCTCCGGCATAGCGGAGACATCAAGAAAACTGTTCTTTGAGCGGACAACAGATCGTCCTGCAAGAGTACCAGAGCTATGAATGAAAGACATCAGTATCGAGGATCGCATGGGGTACGAAATCTTACCTTGTCACTGTCCGATAGAGGCCGTGCATGAGGCCATGGTACTTCGTGGCGCTCTCTTCACGTATATCCTTGAGAATGTCCATCATATCGTCATACTTATTCGAAAGTGTGTTTCCCCGGAAATCCTGCTCCTTGCCCATCTTCAGGTCCACGAGTCCGGCATGAATCTTGTGTGTCAATGAGCCATATGTAGTTAACACTAATAATGATCAAGGTCCAAGCTTACCGCTGTGGCAACGAGCGCAAGCATTGGCGCAGGTATCTCCTTCTCATCGGGCTTGCTGGCAATAGACGAGCACAGCGCATCTTCAACTGCATAACCGACATGAGACAACCTCTTGAAAAATGAAGTACGGAGGATTTTCGCGAAGATTGGATCAGTGAACGCTTCCCCGCCGTACACGATGTTGTTCTGGAACGGTGCGGTGAGTTAGGTGTATGAGTGGGGATATAAACAACACCTGGGACACGTGCGTAAGTGTGGGTGACGCCGCGGTGGGACGTGCGTGTGCGAGGCGGATTCACATGCCGACTGAAACTCACAGGGTAATCAACACGGAAAACGAAACGATCTTTTGCAAGGAGCCAGTCGATCTTCTTCTCGTCGTCGTCATCTAGATTGAAGAAACCGCCAGAGAGTGCGGTGACATTGGCTTTGACTCTGCCACGGAAAATTGGGATACGCTGTGCCGGCTGGTGGTCGAAATGTTATCCGCAAGCTAAACAGGACAGATAAATGGTCACTCACAATCCCAGAGATCTTCCGAGCGTAGCTTGCATTGGTCTTGATCTTCGTTGCGAGGTCTTGGTCCTTGAGGGTTTCTGCGCACTTGACAAGAATATGACGAATGGCAACATTGTACTTCTCGGGGCCATCTGGGAACACATTCTTCAGCACAAGGTAGTACTCTACCTGGGTAATCGCCGCCTCGGCAACACGTTTCACGTGCAACGGCTGCTGCAGGAGATTGTAATGACCGCTGGAGCTGCGTACAAGTTCAATACTATCCCGATTGTCGATATCCTTGTCAAGTTGATTAGTCTGTGTGGTACAGCGACAACCCAGACACATACCTCTTCTACAGAAGAATACTCTTCATATCTGGCCTTCTTGTGCGTGTGCTCTTGGTCTGAGGCATTGTCGTCCGATATGCCGATGAATTTCGGCTGCTGTAGGTGTGTTAGAATGCGATAGTCATGGGGTAGAGTGAAAAGAACCTCATCGACTCGGCTCCGGGGTCGCTTCGAGGCCCCGCCGCTCGCATTTCTGGCCTTTGCTGTGGTTGCCGCGGTCGACTGTGAACCCTTCGAAAACGCGGGCTTGCGTGGCGCCGCGCCTGAATATGAATTGCAGTGAGAGCAGTGGTGATGTCGAAAGTTTACTATGCACACCATAACCGGCCGACTTGTGTTGCGACGCGCTGGGGTCCACGGGATCGGACGATTGAGACTTGGAGCCAGGATTGGACACCTTGCCGGCGAGCAGTTTTGGTGGGCGTGGATACGGGGTATGCGAGAGATGAGTAGAATGCTTACTTTCACCTTCTTGCGTTGTGGCTGAAACAGATACACGGCATTGGGATTCATTCAGAGTGCAAGTCATAAAGAGCGAAAACTCACCTTCGGCCGGGCCTCATGACGATTGTCCTCCAATTCCGACTCATCCACCTGCGACGTACGTTTCAGCCCCTTCCGACCGGGGGTCTGGGACCCGACAGAATCTGGCTTGCGCTGCGGTGCATGTGTATTCTTGCTCCGACCAAGCTTCTTGGTTGTGGCAGACTGCGTGCGAGCTGCGGCATGTTGAGAGTTGCGAAATGAAGACGGGGAGGTTGAAGGATCTTGCAAGTCGAGGGAGGGGAGTTCGGGGTCGGATTCGGAGTCATTGTGAACCCATTCAGCGGCCTAAAGAGAGGATTGAGGCGCACCGGGAGGGGATGAGGATGAGGAGTGAGTTGAAGCATAGACGCGAGCGCGCGCTCACCTCGTTCCTCAGAACTCGCTTCAGGTTCTCGTCGTTCTTTCCCACCAGATCATCTTCACCCTCGTCTTCATCATCCTTGCCTTCGTCGTCATCATTGTCTCCATCCCTGCCGACGTTGGAGTCCTGAGCTTCGGCCCCATGATTCTCGTCGCCATCACCCCCTTCAGCCGCAGCATCACTGTCTTCATCAGCGTAGCCCCAATCGACAACCTCGACATGCTTCTGCGAAAGCCGCAACGATTGCGATCGCGGTGGTGATTCCTCATGCCCCAGCTCGTGTCCTGGAGTCTTGGCAGCCGACAAAACTCTTCCTGCCATCGACGAGCTGGGACGAGGTTGAGAACGAGGCTGCTCAGACTAGGGTTTGCTAACAAATAACTGTGGGTGCTGTAACATACGGGACAAATAACAAACCTCTGACGGTATTTGTAACGCTTGTTAGTAACATGTAACAAATAACAAACCAGGCACCCGTGTTCTGTTATGGTTGCGGACGCGAGAGCGCAGGAGCGCGGGTGAGGTCGAGTGGACACGGTCAGGATACGCGCACGCGCGTGGGAGAGGTGTCAATTAGGCGAGGTACATGCGGATAAGGACGGTGGGAGAGTGTGAGTGAACCTCATTGGCTGGCAGGACGAGAAGGGAGAGGGATCTACACATCTCTGTGATCTAGAAATCCCAGTCACCAGCCTTGATTTTCATGCTAGGAGCACGAGCCTTCGGCGCCGATGAGGCGGGCTGGGAGGCGGACGCTGATGATGACTGTGATGCTGCAGAAGAGCCCGACACTCGAGGTGTATCCGAGAGGACGTCGAGGAGGTCAGGAGAGGTCAAGTCCATGTCGTAGGATGGAAGGAGAGCTGTCTTGTTGGCGCTAGAGTTAATGTTCGCTGACGTGCTGGCACTGGAGTCGTGGCGGCGGCGTCGGGCCTGTTGATCTAACAGTGAATCGCTGTCTGACGACTCGTCGCCTGAGTCTGAGTCGTTGGCAGTGATACGGCCTGCGTCGCTATCACCATCTGACACCTCTACATCGCCCGAGGCTGCCTTGATGAGGTCTTTCTCAATGTCACGGAATGTGACGCGAACCATCGGGGGCCGTTTGTGCGAGTTCCCGCGTGTCGTGACCTATAAACAGTATGAATGCGAGGGAAAGACTAGAGGCAACAGTTGTACAGCTTTCGACGAACCTTGCGTGACCAGTATTGTCCTACTAAAGCCATATCTATGAGAGTCTGCGCATCTTGGCGTCCGCGAAGGGGGCTGTTCAACCATGTGACCTTCGAACCGGTGCACTCATCTGGCATAGAGTTCACAAGAACTGAGAAGACTTTCACGCATATCAACTGTATGGTGGCAGGGTGCGACTCGTCAGCGCTAGTATGATCATCAGGCGGTGAAGAGGGTGACTCACTGTGAGTACACTTGCATTCCGGTCGTCCTGCAGAGACATCCACCACCGAAGAGGAGTTTCCCCAGGTCGAAGCGGGGACTTGAAAGGAGCACGGCCGTCCCAATAGGCGTATAGTTGCTCTTGAAGGGCTTGCGTGATCTCCGTCGAGTCGCCAATAGATGCGAGCGCAAGTGCAACGGGCTCGGATGGGAACTTCCCTGCTCGTTCTACCATAGCCATGAGAGTCTCTTTGCAGAACTGTTTCAACCGGTCGAAGGCGCGAGGATGGCGGACAGTCAAATCAGCGCCTTTACGGGGCAGCAAGACGTTGATAGGCTCGGTGGGAAGGATGAGGAAGGCATCTGAACGCATGGTGTAACCTATATACACAAGTTAATGCGGCGTGCGTGTATCGTATGAGCAAGGAACATACGAGGATCCAAAAGGAATGCGGAGAAATAGATCTCCTGGTTCACAAAGAGATTGTCATAGCGGTTGTTAAACTTCTCAATGACTTCATTGGCGAGCTCCCGAGAAATCCCAGTTTCCTGCTGCTTCTTGAGGTTGAAGAGTTCGTGTAGATGAGCAGCACGAGCACAGGTGATTTCCCTGGTGCATCCGTTGCGATAGCCTATCGGCAGCTACAGATGCATCTGGACGGATCTGGCGATCCGTGATGCGCACCCGTGGAGACGCGCCTCGGTGGGCGGCAAGGACGCGTGGCGCGCATTGACGCGTGGCTGTGATGCACGCCACACGTCCCTCCCCTTCACCGTCCTTGCTCTCCTCCGCTACCCTCGCTACCCCCAGCCTCCCCGCTCTGCCCAGGCAGACGATAGCGACCATACGGTCGACTGTCGTCTGTTATTGGACTTTGGTGTCACCAGGTGACTCCTCCTTCCCTCCCTCGACCTCAACCTCGACCTCCTCCCTCGACCTCAACCTCAACCTCAATCCCACTCTATACCCACCTTCCCAACCGCACTCACGACAAACACACCGCACAAGGACGTCCGTACGGACATCCGAAGTATGGAGATGAGGGTATAGGGGCCGCGGCGACGTGCCATGTCCCTTGTTTTGGTGAGTCCTTCGCTCTGCCCTCCTGCATTCCCAACACCCACCAATTCCCCCTCCCGCCCGGCGACAACTACCACAGGCCGAGGACGTCCGCCCGGACCTACTCCTCCTCCCGGCCCTCCAAGCCGCCGTCCCCCTCCTCCGCGCCGCTGTCCTCCGCCCGGGTCTCCCGCCTGCACCGCCCTCCTCTGCGTCGCCCTCCTCTACATCGCCCACCTCTGCGTTGCCTTCCTCCTTGCCCTCCTCCACTCCCTGCGCCGCCCGCCCACGCTGCCCTCCTCCGCGTCGCCATCCTCCGCCTGCGTCAACGCCCCTGTCCACACCGCGCTCCTCCGTGTCACCCTCCTCCGCCTCTGCGCTGCCCCGCGTCGCCTGCCTCCCCCGCACTGCCCTTCTCCACGCCGCCCGCCTCCTCCGCGCTGCCCGCCTGCCCGCGTCGCCCTCCTGCCCCGTCCTCCGCCCACGTGCGCGCACGTCACCCAGCTGCTCTGCGCCTCCTTCGCCTTCGCATCGCCCACCCCCGCCCGCGTCGCCCACCACCTGCTCCGCCTCGTCCCGGCCCACCGCGTCCCCCCGCGAGCCCTCCGCGTCGCTCTCCTCCGCCTTCGCGTCGCTCACCTCCGGCTCACTTACCTTTGCGTCGCCCGCCTCCGCGTCTCCCACGTTCACGTCGCCCACGTCATCGTCGTCCTCCACCTCCACCTTGTCCCGACCCTTCGCCTCGTGCTGCCCTGCTCCGCATCACCCACCTCTGCCTCTGCCTCCGCATTGTCGTGGGGCGTGGTATTACTTACTAGCGCACCTATGTAGTAGTTTACTAATAAATATATTTCTATCACTAATCATATGCAAAATGTGGTGTGAAACAAAGAGGGAGACGAGCTCACTGTCGGAGACAGCGAGCTCAGGTGGCAGGGCCTGAGGCGCCGGTGTCCGGACATCTCGGGACAGCGTCGCACCTGGGGGTGCGCGAGCGCGCTTGGGGAAGGCGGTGTCGAGCTCAACCGGGCCGGCCGGCACCAGATGCATCCGCACTTGCCGATAGGCTGTCACAACGGATGCACCTGGCGAATCACTACTGTAGGCAGCACATGCCATAAAGAACATCCACACATCAGATGCATTGGCGTTCAGCGCCTCGAGCGCCCACAGCGACCGGATGAGAGGTTGGATGATGGTTGTATACACAGTGAGTGTGTGGCGAAAGCGGACGAGATCTTCTGAATAAGCAAACTCGAACATAGCTTGAACTTCTTTGTTCTGTCGATATGGGTGTCAGCATATCTCCATTCGTTTCACTGGATCGACGTACACTGAACTTGATATCCCTTGTTTGCACCAGCTGCTGTATCTTGTCCAGACAGGGAAGGACCGACATGGCAGCGGAGTAGTGGCTCCCGAAACGCGTTGCACCTATCTGCTGGAGCGCACGAAGCTTCGTGCCGTCTGTGTCTGAGGGCATGCGAAGGAGAGCTTTGCTAAGGCGTGAGCGAGAGAAGTGAGCAAGAATCTTCTTGAGCTTGTGCATAGTCTATGGATGTGGTAAGTTCGATGACCATCTCAGCGCGTCGGACGTCCACAGCATAAGCCACTCACGTCGTCGAACACAGATAAGACTGTTACGTCTTTAATGATGCCGTGCATATGATGGATACAGTCTCGGAAGTCGAAAATGGTGGGGAACTCGGCACAGAGGTCGGCACGGGTGTTGAGGGTGACCTTCGTGCTGTCAGAGACGAGAGCGGCTGCATGGCCCACGCCGATGCGACTGATTGACTAGTCAACGGCAGACATGGTGAGCATATACTGCGATCAAACGGGAGCGAAAACGTACCGATAGGAGCTTTGTCTTAACCCATTCTGTCGTGTGGTGCTCGTGCGATCCTGTGTGACCATCCACAAGATAGGTGACCCGGTCCGGAGTGGTGGCATGCACATACATCAGGAAAAACGGTTTGCTACACAGCATGGCGCGCGGGCTTTGAAGGCGCTGTAGTTCCTATAGTCGTCCGCTTAACATCTGTAGTGATACAGAGTCCCTAGTAAGTGTAGGTCGGGCGCGCGCGTGAGCGGCTCTGACAGGGAATGCGCCCGTCGTCACGCGTTGTGTAGGGGCTTTTCGACGATGGTGCGCGAGTTTGTTGGTGAGGTGGTGGTGCAGGAGGCTGCATTAGTGATGGAACGGTCGGAGCCGCGCGCCGCGCGCGCGTGGCTGCGCGGCATGCGCATCAGCGGATGTGCAATAAAATGGAGGCTTTCATGTACGGGACCTGGACTACTAGCTGCGATTAGAGAGTAGGGTGGGTAGGTATCTATACAAAACGAAATCGTGATGACTTAGATACGGGTTAACATAGAACTTTGCACACTTGTCCGTGACATTGTCCGATGTCCAAGATGATGCTATCTTCTTCCCAAACACTGGAAGGAGGTGACATGTACGTACGACGGAGGTGATAGGGATGATGGAGGTGTAGCGGTGGTGATTCCGAGTAGAAGGAGAGACTACATACATACCGGTGTCCTCGTGATATGCTTGGAACGGAGTGAACCACTCCACATATGCAAGGGGATCCACAATTCCTAACACAGCTCTGTCAACTTCATAAGGAACGTCAAAGATCGCCTGGATGCGTGCGATGCGAAGTCCTGTAGGCTAAAAGTGAGTAAAGATTCATCCTGGCACTCAGAATGACTCACCACTTAAGGGGTGGTTGTGCGGAAGAGACGTCGTGGACAACATGCCAATAGCAGTGTCTTCGCGTACAAGTACTGTTGACATATTGGCCGGAGTGGCCTCCTTGAGCGGAGGACGGGCAGGCTGTGAGCACGTGGCATGGATGGTGTCAATGTGCGGGGTGCGTGATGAGACTTGACGGATGACGGGAAGCTGGACTTTGAACTGCACGTAAGCCGCGACGCGCGTGTGCTCGTGGATGGTGATAGTAGCAAGGTGCTGCTGACGAGCAACATTACCCAAGGCCGCTTCCTGAAGATAGCGGAAGAGGCGGGGCGCGAGATCGGGAGCGTGGAACCGCTCCGCAAGCTCCGCAAGAGTCAGGTTTGGGTACGCGGGAGTTTTCGCGATGCTATAGCCTCGGGAGAACGCTATGGGATGCTCGTTAGTTTGGGTGGCCAGAGGACTATGATTCTGTCTCGCCTCGCTTGGGGGAGTTCGCTCTAGACACGGTGGACACAGTTGAGATAGGGTGATAGTAACAGGGTAGGTTGAGTATGTACCTTGGACCAGCTGCGTAGACTCTGGCATCGGAGACCATTGTACCGGGGGAGGCGGAGGGCCAGCTGTACTATTTGAAGCGCGCGAAGATGTATTAGTGATAGAGTGGGTCGTCGTCGTATGGGATGGGATGGGAGGAGATTGGGTTGACGAGCCACACCATTAGAGGTAAGACTCAAAGCGATGGACGGCTTCGTGTCACTCTAGCCACCTTGTCATCTGCGCGAGATACGACTTCTGCTTGTTTGACGCATTGTACGCGAGCTTGGTCGTGTCGATGTGAAGCCGTTCTGTGTTCTCCGTGTTGGTGCCATCTGCGGTACCGGTGTGTCGAATCGCGGGCTTGTAATGCTCGGTGAAGTGGTTCTTCAGGAAGTTGAAGTGTTCTCGGATCCCCAGGTCGACAAAGACAGACTTGTAACGATGGTAAGCAGCCCAGGACTCGTGCAATTGGTCAAGGGAGTGGTCGTCGTGGGTTTCGAAGTGGGCATAGTAGATGAAGTCGAGCAAAGCCCGAACAGCGCGTGTGACTTCCAGAGCGGATGGAGCGCCTGCGATGACGCCGAGGAAGACGCGCTCCATGTGCTTGTACTCGTTCCCCGTCCACTGCGAGATCCCCGATATCCCTTTTGCGAAGAGTCTGAGCCCTGAGTGCTTTGGCATCGCCTTGAACCTCTTGTCGATCTCAGCCTCTCCGTCTTCAATCGCCTTGGTCACCCAGCTGACAAGATGATCCTTGAACATACCCTTGTGCAGCTGATGGAGGATATCGGGAGTGATCACAGTGAAGATATTGGCAAAGGGTAAGCGTGTCCAGAATGGTTCGATCTCACGGAGCCCAAGTTCGTCAAACTCAGCAGGTGTTTGTTCAGGATATTTTGACGCCATTTTGAACAACCATGCACTTCTCGCCGGATCGCGAAGAGGTGCAGCGCTCGGCTCCCCACGGTTCTTCGGAGACACTGTACACCTGGGGCAGTAGTTCTCTTTGCAGCCTGCAACGATACACTGCTCCGGGTGGTCCGCGATATACGCCGCGAGGATGGGGAAAACCAGGCGTACCATGCCGTCCGCGCAAACCATCTCAACGCCCATCTTCCCCGCCTCGATGAGCGGCTCCAGGAGCGACGCCATGCAAGTGTGGAAGAGCCGGTGCAGCTCATTGGAGCATCTTCGAGGTGAGTAGCATTCCAGTTTGTTTGTGGGCAGGTAGCCGAGGAGGACGGTGGCATGGGAGTTGGGTCGACGGCGCTCTTCTTTGTCGATGTTGCCTATTGACACGTAGACTGGCCAGCCCATCTTGTCTCCACTCATCCTCGAGAGGGTCGTCTTGTCTGAGGAGATGATGACAGCAGCAATCGTGGCACCGTTCCGTAGTCGAAGCTACAGACGTTCACCATGTGAGTTGTCCTTTTCGTGTTATCATGTTATTGGAGCATGCTCACCTGAGTATTCCACCACCAATCCGTTGTCTCCATCCCCTTGTAGACACGCTGTTTCCCCTCCGCATCCGCAAACACCCTCTTTGGCGCAAAGTGGATGTGTTCTTGGAAGAGTGGATTCCCCATCAACTCACGAGTCAACTCCACCGGGTCCCGCTTCCAGAGGAACGCGACCTCCTTGAGTAAGCCGCCTTCCTCATCAACCAAGTCACCGGTCTGCTCAAACGTCTCCACTTTCCAGTTCGCAAAACCGCGGGGTAAGGCATCTATCATTTGAAAGAACTTGTAACTGCTGACAAATGAGGGCTTCGTACGGTTCTTGATCTGCAGCACAACACGGGTCAGCACCTATCGGTGAAACGAAGAGAATGGAATCGCACAATTTGGAGTTTGAGGAAGTCATCAATCGCTCCTTGACTCGCCCCCAATGCCATCAGCCACTTCGCCAGGTTCTACTCATCCTCCGATTCGAAAGGTGCCCACTGCGAGAGTTAACCGTCGGGATTTTCAGCCAGCCAGGCCTTTCGATAGGCTTCAAACAACGTCTCTCCCAGGCGCAATGGAGCTCCCGCATGCTCCAGCCCGGGTTCGGCAAAGTCCTCCACCCAGAGCTCTTGAGGTAAGCCGTCGTTGCTGCCTTCCTCGTCGGGTCGAAGGGGTTGTGTGTGCGCCGGTTGCTGATGCGGTTGGGACGGCCCAGGAACTGGCATTGAAGGGGGCATGCGCAGTGGATCGGGAATAGAGTCGACATCCATGAAGTCTGATTCGCTGGAGAAGCCACCGTCGCCCCATCGCTCCGGTAAGCCATTCCATTCTTCACGCTGTTCAGAGGGCTCATTCTGTGCAACCGTGAAGTGGGGTGGGAGACGAGATCGTTCATCAGTGAGTCGACATGCTTCCTTGAGCTGGATGTGTGATTTGAGGCCTTGTTCGGTCCGCAGATAATCGTTGCAGTATGGACAGATCGGCATGGGACCAAACGGCGGAGAATGACGTTGAAATGAAGGGGACGATGGCGACGATGGAGAGGTGAGAGGGATTTTTGCTGAATAAATATCAAGCGCTGACTCGCCGTGTATCGCACCTCTGCAGCGGTGTTGACTGCAAATATCCCACGCTCTGGCCACCTCCGACTCAGATCTCCGACGTGGCACTAATATGCTCTCTTCCACCACCTCCTCTCTTGCCGTCCATTGCCTCTCCGGTTCTTTCCATGCCCCCCAAAAAGAAGTCCCGTAAAGACCTCACCGACAACCCGGCACAACCCGAGGGAGTGGAGCCGTCAGACGCACACCCAGCAGGCAAGAATGCAAAATTGGCGCGCAAGTCGTCTCGTCCCCGAACCCGGACACAGAAGCAAGCTCAGAACGGCAAGTCTCCTCCCCTACTATTTTGTGAAATGGCTCTTGGGTGACGAGTGCGACTTTAAACACAGACCGGGACAAAGAACTCCAAGATGTAGCCTCCCTCATGCGTGACAAGGCCCAACTTGAAGCCGAGCTTCGGAGACTCAAAGGGAAGCAACTCGTGGAAACCGGTAAGTGAAAGCCCATTGCATGTGCGCGAAAACCTCACATTTTCGCTCTCAGGACCAGGCGATAGCAGCTCTGAAGATGACTCATATGAGAGTGAAGAAGAGAATGCGGATGTTGTTGAGGAGCGCAGGCACAAGTCGATGGTAAGCTGACTCGTCTTCCCATTATTAAGTTGATAATAGCTAATCAATATGTTCTGTAATAGTTCGAGTCTCGTGGAATATTTGAAGCTCGCCCTCCACCTAAGAAGCTCCGACGCTCCAACTCCCAGCCACGCTCCCTTGGTACACCAACCCCGTTCATTCAACCCTCATTGCAACTCCCCACCACTTCGTCCCTCAGAATCCTTCCCTCCGCGTGGTAGCACACCGTCCTCGACTGGTTTGCAATCAATTCATATCTCACCCAGATACGAGATTGGATGGCGATCAATCCCCAGTTGACTACTATGGTTCGACAGCGTCTGTACGACGAGGCCCGGTAAGCTAATTATTGTTGAGTTCTACCTTATGCTGACTGGCATACGACATCGCCACCCTGTCGGGGTTGTTTCACAGCGCGACAACCGGTGCTGCACCCATACAAGAGGTAAGTCACGGACTCTCGTTGTCGTTGCGAAGCCGCCTTGCTGCCGAGCTCGAAGAGCAAGCGGCAGAGTGGGCCGATCATCAGTCGTACTAGGTGAGCAAGCTGTAATCGTTCTTTGAAGCCTGCTCTCACACGCAAATTGGAATCGCTCGGTGTGGCCACCGCTGGCGTCTCAAAGCAGGTGCACGGGGTCGGACGACCTCTGAGGATGCATAGTTCTGTAGGCTGCGTGAGCGGCATCCGGTGTACTGAAGGACTCGTGCGTGACGCGGGAGCGGGCCGCGAACGCCAATCGGAGGAGAGGGAGGGGTGGATGGGTGTAGATAGAGAGTGGATGACCTCGATGTAGCGGTGCAGAGGCGTCGCTGGCACTAGGCACAAAGCAGGCGCAAGCTAGAGTCACACAAGGGATGTCTAGCCCACAAAGACCAAGTTAACATAGCTCTACATACATACAGGCAATCGAGATACTCACCTAGCCCACAAAGACCAAGAGGTCGAGATGAGGGCTAGGACACGAAGTGCAAGTGCTAAGAGAGTCCGCGATACGGGCGCTTAAGCGCGGGAACAACCTTCCAATATAGTAGCAGGCAGAGAAAAGGCAAAGAAAAGACGAAAAATAATACATAGGGCGAGTCCAGAGTCCGTTCCATGACATTACCCCCCTCCTAAAACCCATCCGTCCCGGATGGACATGATCCTCCCCTCCTGCCAGTCTTCCTTCTCTGTTTCTGCATGCTCAGGGTGCTCGACCCTCCTCCACGGCAGCGCGGCGAATAGAGTCGCAGATATCTTGCAAGGCGCGTTGGGATTGCGCTCGTAGAACTCTGCAACCTTCTCTGGGGCATTGGCGACATTCGCCGCTGGTTCCCACGAGTCGTCACCCTCTCCATATCCCTTCCACCGCACCTGGAACTGAAGCCGGCGGTTGAAGAACCAACTGTCCAGAATCCTCTCCACCTCGTACTCCCCCTCTCCGTCCACTTCCACTGGCTCTGGCGGTGGTGCTCGTCGCCCGTTCACCTCGTTCCCTCCATACTTGGACAGCCGATCCACATGTACGACCGGGTGGATCTTGAGCGTGGGTGGGAGTTCGAGACGATAGGCTAGGTCACCCACACGTTCGACCACCTTGTAGGGTCCCAGCTTCCGGACACCAAGCTTGCGCGTTGCCTGGTGCACACTGATGTCTTTTGCGCTAAGCCAGACCTTGTCTCCGACTTCGAACGCCTTCCGATCACGAGGGTGTTCCTCTGCGAAGTGGACCTTCATCTTCGCCTTGCCTGCGCGCAGCACTGATTCAATGTCCTTCTATGCTTGGTGCATGCCCTCTAGGCGATCCTCGAGACGAGGGAAGCGAGTCTCTGTTCCCACTGGTACTGTGAAGTCTGGCTTGTACCCATACATGACCTTGAAGGGTGTGTGGTTGTGCGCAGAGTGGATTCGGCTGTTCAGCGCGAACTCGGCTGTTGGCAGATAGCGTACCCAGTCGTCTTGCTGTTTGCGTACGAACAGGCGCAAGTGCTGCTCTACTTCCTGGTTCGTTCGCTCGGTCTGTCCGTTAGACTGAGGGTGGTACGCGGTGGTGAGTGCATGTTCAATGCCGAGCTTGCCGTAGAGTTCGTGCATCATGCGAGCGGCAAACTGGGGACCACGGTCCGACACAATCTTCCGAGGGACGCCATGTAGGCGGAAGATCTCGCGGTAGTGCAGGTCTGCAATGCCAGCAGCGTCGACGCTGTCGCGTGTGGGGAGGACGTGACACTGTTTGCTATAGTGGTCGACGTACACCGCGATTGCGTTGAACCCTTCGCACTCTGGGAGCCCAGTGACCAGGTCTACTCCCACCACCTTCCAGGGGGCCTCAGGGACGTCGTGCGGATGCAAAGTGGAGCGTGGATGTGGGGCTGGCTTGTAGCGTTGACAGCGCTCGCAGCCTGCGACGTACTTGGCCACGAAGAGCGCCATCCCAGGCCACCAGTAGTGTCGGCTGACGAGCTCAAGGGTGCTGCTGCGTCCAGGGTGTCCAGCTGTGACCGAGTCGTGGCATCGCCGAAGAACCTCTCGTCTGAGCTCTGGGTCGGCCGGCACGTATAGACGACCTTCATGATACACCAGGCCCCTGTGCTCTTCCCACTCAGCCACTCCACTTGCCACCTTGCGAGGTGGCGCCGCAAGCCCACTTCTAACCTCCACTTCGCGCTTGGTGCACTCACGGATGCGTTGCTCGAGCAGATCGGTGTCGCTGCAGATGGTTGCAGCTAGCTGAGCGAACCGTTCTGGCTTGAGTACGACCTGCTCCTGGTTGTCCTCTGCGTCTGTGACCTGATGAGTGGGGAGACGCGAGAGAGGATCTGCCTGCATGTTCGTCTTCCCAGGCTTGTGGGTGAGAATGAAGTCGAAGCGTGCCAACCAGATTGACCATCGCGCTTGCCGCCGTGAGAGGTGCTGAGCAGTACGCCAGTACTCGAGGTTCCGATGATCCGTGATGATCTCGAAGGGATCAGGAAGGCCCTCCAGATAGTGGCGCCAGTCCTCCAGTGCTCAGATGATCCCCAAGAGCTCTCAGTCGTAGATCTCGTAGTTGCGCTCTGCATCCGACATGGACTCTGAGCGGAACGCTATCGGGTGCCATAGGCCGTCGGGGAGCTTCTGGAGCAGAACACCACCTGTTGCGAATCCAGAAGCGTCCACCTCAAGTCTGGTGGGTCGATGTGGTGCCCATGTAGCGAGAACCGGTTCGCTGATGAAGGCGTCCTTGAGCGCGCGGAATGCCTGACGCTGCGCGAACTCCCATGTCCACGCGACGTCCTTCTTCGTCAAGTCGTTCAAGGGACGAGCCAGCCTAGCAAAGTCCTTGATGAAGCGACGATAGAAGTTGGCAAATCCAAGGAAACCGCGCAGATCTCGCAGGTTACGAGGATCTGGCCAGTCGCGCACGGCTTTGACCTTCACCGGGTCCATGCTGACCGAGCCCTGACGGATCACCAGCCCCAGGTACTCCACCTCCTCCCGCTCAAACTCGCACTTCTCAGGGCGCAGGTAGAGGTCGTGCTCCTCCAACCGCTGAAGTACTTCGTGAACCAGTCGACGGTGCTCCTCTAGGGTGTCCGTGAAGATGAGGATGTCGTCCAGGTACACCGCTACCTTGCCCTGCGCAATGAGATCCGCGAAGATCGAATTCATCAGCGCTTGGAAGGTGGCTGGCGAATTGGTGAGCCCGAAGAACATAACCTTGGGTTCGAACAACCCTCGGTTAGTGACGAAGGCAGCCTTCCATTCGTCACCCTCCTTGATCCGGACGTTGTGGTACCCCCAGCGCACGTCGAACTTGGTGAAGTACTTCGCTTCCCGCAGCCGGTTCACGATGTCTGAGGCGAGAGGAAGCGGATAGCGGTTCTTGACGGTGACATCGTTCAGCTTCCGGTAGTCCTGTACTAACCGGAGCTTCCCGTCCTTCTTCTTGACAAAGAAGACTGGAGACGCCATGGGGGACTTAGAAGGTGTGATGTATCCCTTGCGCATGTTGTCCTCCAGGAACCGATCAAGCTCCTCCTGCTCGTTCAGAGGCATGGGGAAAACCTTGGAGCGGATCGACTCAGGCGCATCAGGCTTGAGGTCGATCGCGTGGTCGTAAGGTTTCGACTCAGGGAGACGCTCTGATTCAACCTCGGAGAACACCTTAGCGTGGCGTCGATACTCCTCCGGGACCATCTCCTCGAACGTCTTCTGAGGTTTCCCCTTGTTGGCAGCCTCTGCCAGCTGCGTCGAATAGGTGTAGCCCGCCGCACACCACACCTCCTCCCTCGCATCCTCCAACACTCCTGCCTTCTGCCACTTCCGTCGCT